GTGACCTGACAATGTGCAGCCCGGGCTTCTCTCTGGTCCCTGCTGCTCCATACAGCCTTGCTCAGCAGGGCATCCATGCCAGAGAGGGCCCTACAGAAATGAGGCCACTTTCTCCCTCCCCCCAGGATGGGACAGAAGTGAATTTCCAGCGGTGGATGTGTTAGGACATTAGCACTGATGGGGTTACAGATCCTACCTGAGCACAGCCCTGCTGTGTGGTTATGTGTTCTCAGTCCAGGGCAGCTGTAATCATCATCATCATCATCATCACTATTGTCGTTAGAGTCATTTTCACCGTATTTCCTAAACAGCACCCCAGGATCCCAGGAGAGGCCGGTAATGGCATGCTTTTAAATTCGGGAAGCTTAATACTCTCCAAAAGAAAGAAAAAACAGACCTGTGCTCCACCCCACTATGGGATCTGTGCCGACCGAGGAGGGAGAAAGAAAATAGCTGCTTGTTGAGCACAGAACTTCATGAATCTGGCAGGGGGTCAGTGTGGGGGTCAAGCACTGGGGTGGCATGACCTACAGTCCCAGCGTGCCTGGCACTGAGGATTTCCTGAGATGCAGGACTTTCAGTGCTAAAACCAAGACAGCCCCAGGCAAACTGGGATGGTCAGTCACCCTAAGACTGTGGACACAGCAGAGAGCAGGGCAGGTACAGCCGGCCCTTCTAGAGCACGGCCTTCCTTCTGCGGTTACAGCTACGCGTGGCAGCCCATGGCACGAGCGCTCTCCCTGGACCAGGGCAGGGACTGCCTGGCTGGGTCCTCTCTGCTCCCTACCCGCCGCCCTAAGCTGGGAGGTCGGGATCATTATCCCAGTTTTGAAGATTAGATAAAGGAGGCTCAGCTTGGCAGGGGGCCTCGCCTCTCCCTGGATGAGCAATGGTCAGAGGCACAGCTGAGACCCCAGCCTGGCTTCCTGTGAGGCCAGGGTGTCTCTCTGTCCATAATCCCAGCTTCTCTGGCCTGACCTGGAGGCCACAAGTCCCTGTCCTCCTCCTAGAGAGAAAATGGCAAGGAAGATTCCACTAGGAGCATTCACAGGGAGAGTTGGCTCTGCGCCTTCATTGGCCTTGTCCTCCCTGGGGGCTGTGCCGAGCCGGGGCTAGGGAAGGGTTAAACATCCAGGCTGGGGCAGCTCTGCACATGAGCCCACAGACCAGTCCTTAGCTGCCCCAGCAGCCCACACAGTTCTCTGCAAAAAAAAAAAAAAAAGGAGAGCAGAGAGGTAATGAGCCAGCCACCCTTCACTGATTTTGCACATAATCGTATCTTTCCTTTAATGGAACCAGCAACCGAGGCCAAGTCGACACCTGCTCTCTTCATCTTCCCCCATTTTATTCAAGAGGTTCAGAACGGGCCTGGTTCGGTTCACTGTTCAGGAAACGTTTGCTGAGCTCCGGCCTGGGTGGGGCAGAGAAATGACGGGTGCCTGTCTGTGTCAGGCCACACACCTGTCACAGACAGCAAACCAAGGCTTCGGATGGAAGCCGCCGTCCTGCCAGCACTGGGCCTCAAAATGAAAGTCCCTCGGATGCTTGCTATGCATTAAGAAGGGAATGAGATGATGCTGTGACTGAGCTTTTCTAGGGGATGTTTCTAGAACCAGAACATACATCTCTCACATGCACTGTGGCCCACAGGGCTGTGTAGCACAGCAGTTATGTCATCTCATCACAACCGTTAGCATTGGCATCAGCTCCATTTTACAGATAAAGAAACTGAGGCTCAGGAGGTGTAGTCACATGCCTGGGGCCCCCCAGATAGAAGTGGCCAAGCTCAGGTCCCTCTGATCCTAGCTCCTGGGCGCAGCAGAACAGAGCGGCTAGGAGAAAGAAGAGCCCACCTTCCAGCTGCCTGCTGTGTGCCAGGCACCATAGGAAGTGCTCACGTCCACCGCAGATAGACCAGGGGAGAGGGACCCAGGGCCACCAGGCTTATCCCAGCCTGGTAAGATTCAGCTCGGGTGGCCCTGCACATCCAAAAATGTAAGATATAGCAAAAGCTTGGCTTAAGGGCAAATCACAGCCTTAAGAACAGGATTGGAATAGAGAAAGATGTCTTTTCCTCCAGAAAGGCCACCGCGATGCCATTCCCACACCTGCACTGAGTACAGGCCCCTCTCCTGGGCCCCACAGTGAGCACTTCTTGTTGCTCCGTCATGCAGTGTCTCAGCGTGGCCCAGCTCTTGGCTGGCCTCTCTTTCTCTCACTGGATTGTGAGTTCTCAGTACTGGGACTTGTTCCTTCTCTGTGCTCCTCACCATGCCAGCTGCAGGTGCCAGCAGGGGGTGGGGGCCTGGCAGTAAGGGTTGGAATAACTAAACGCTGCTGAGGGGTCCCTGCAGCCACTCCAAGCCAGCTGGGGGGCTGTGGGCATGGAGGGGGCTTCTCCACCTGGGGATGGAGAGGATGTGGCTGGGTGCAGGGCGGGGCCCGCCTTCCTGGGGGGCAGTGTGACATCGTAGCCACTCTTAGAGTCCCACTCATTCCACCTGAGGTGCTATCCTAGGAACATAAGCTCAGAATTCAGACAACGCTCAATGTAAAAACGTGTACATCAGAGTTATTTATATACTAAAAAAGTGGACACAAGCTAAATGTGAGTGGGCGAATAAATCACGGTTTATTCCTTTAATGGAATCTTCTGCAGCCTTTAAAAACCCTCTTGCAAAACTTACAACATGTGGGCCATGCCTGAGAAAGCAGGATGCAGAATTGTCCCTCAGCTAGACAGCCACGTCAATAATACAGAGAGGAGAAGACAAGAAGGAAATATGCTCCCTGATGCCAGGAACAGTCGTGGTGGTGGGGCTGGGTTTACGTGGGATTCTTAAAAATTATTTTTACTTCTAGGACCTTTCCAAGTTTTTTTTTATAATGTTTTGTAAAAGCTTATAATTTTAAAGAAACAAAATATAGGGGAGGCTTGATCAAGGAAAGCTTTCGTGGAGAAGCGGACTTGTCAGGCGGGTCTTGGCTGTGCAGATACACCCCGGCCCCAGCTCCTGGCCAGAGCCGGGCCACAGGTGCTCCGACTCCCTCTGCCTCTGTCTCTCTGTTTCCCTCCCTGTCCCCCTCTCCCCCTCCTCCCCCTCCCCTCTC